CAGAGGAAGTGCATCTTGGGGGTAATTCAGTAGACTGGGTTATGATTTTCACAGCAGGACCTGGGAAATTCTGCATCAAATATGATCTCTGTTAATTTGCACAGCTTACGGCTTCAAAGACGCTCATTTTTACTGAAAGTATGAAATTTCAGATTCAGCCACATGATGGTTTCCACAATCCTCTTGTGGCAGTCCCGGGGCTGGACGGAGCAGCTGGCTGGCTCTGTCCAACCACAGCCTCAGCTCAGAGACACTGCCTGGGTCAAGGGGGCCCAGCAACCTGGCCGGGGGCTGGTGTGAAGGATAGAGTCAGAAGCGAAGTGGTCCAGCTCCAGCAAAACCCATCTCCCTTGCCCCCCTGGGAAGGGAGGACTGGACAGGGAAGGACAGAACCACTTCTCGACAGCCACTGAGTCACCCGCAGCCTCCTCGCACACGCAGCAGCTAGCGAAGACCTCAACAGCCTTTGACATCTGTGCTTTATGTGGCTTGCAGTCCCTGGGTGGTCGCCACCCACAGGCCTGGGGCCTGGTGCTGGGCGCTGCTGGTTGGCCTGTCTGAAGAACAGGCCTCAGAGGCAGGCACACCCTCCCTGCCATGTGGAAGAGCACCTGGGGAGCAGGAGGCCAGAGTGCGAGGCTAGCTTCGCTGAGTCCTCACCAAGACGCGCCAGGCCCAACATGACCACTGTGTTCCCGACACACCCCTGCCTGGGCTGCCGGGGCTCCCCCTCCTCCTGCCATCTTTTTTGTTAAAACTGAGATATAATTCACATAAGATAGGATACCATGCACCCCATAACCCCACACCCACCGCTTTGAAGCCTACAAGTCTGGTTTTAGGATATTCGCGAGGTCCTAGTTCGAGAACAAGCCTGCTATCCCAGAGACCACAGGCACTCAGCTTCCCCTCCCAGTCCCTGCACCACAACTCTCCCTCTGCCTCCGAGGAGGTGCCTCTGTGGACACTTCACACCCAGAGTCATCTACAAGTGGCCCTGGTGTCGCCTTCTGCACTCAGCACAGTGTTTTCAAGGCTCATCCATTCTGCAGAAGGTTTATCAGCACTTCATTCCTTTTTTGTTGATGAATAATATTCCACGGTGTGGAATTTCATATGTGGTTTGTCCACCAGTCAGTTGATGGGCACGTGGGTTGTCTCCACTTCTGGCTGTGATGGATGAGCCAAGAACATGTGCCTTCGAGTTTCTGTGTCAGTGTCTGTTTTTAGTTCTCTTTGGTGTCCACCTAAGGGAGCACTGCTGGACGCACAGGCGAACTGCCAGATTCTCCTGGGTGCCTAGCCGATGGCTTCGCCTCCCTAGCCCGAACAGGATCCTGACATCAACCAGCATCTGCTGTTCCTCAAGTGTCCCCAGGAGCTGCACCACAGGAGGCATGACCTCACTGGCCTTGGTACTGGCCCCTTTCTGGTGTGTCTGCAGGTTTGGAGTGCAGTGCAGGCCTGTGGGGGACACAGAGCCAGCCCATGAGAGACACACAGCGACTCAGCCTCCCCAAGGTGCAGATCGGGTCTGCCCCAGAGCCACTTAGATGAGGGGAGGAAGGTGTGTGGAGGCTGTGTGGGGAGGACGAGCAAGTGCAGAGGCCCGCGCACTTCTGAAGGCTGCGGTCAGCACTGCCTGCCAGCAGTGTGCAACCCGGGGCTCTGCCAGTCCAGCTGCAGCCACATGGACAACGTTTCCTTCAATGCCAGATGCAGGCAGGAGTGGCCCCGAGGTGACAACGGAAAAACGGTCTCCATGTCAGTGACCTGGCAGCTGCCCGGTGTCCCAGCACAGTGCGGGCCTCGCGTGCTTGTGGCGATAGCGGTGGGACGACCTGCCAGACATCCCTTGGGGCTCGCGTGTCCACCACACCGTGCTCTGCTGTCATTGCTTTGGAGCGCAGTCCTACTCACAGAGAAGGACATCTCGGTAACACGGTTGGCCATGTGCGGACGGCCAGCTCCGAGCACCCTGAGCCCATCAAGCCTCCAAGTCGCATGGTTTTCTCTCGTGCTTGATTTAACCTCAGCTGTGTTGAGCACCGTGCGCCTGGAGCTGTTCTGCCCACCTCAAACACAGCCCAGGGTGTAGAAGGCCGGCAGTCGGGTTGTGTGAGTGCACCCCAGGACATCTGCACAGTGGTGAGATTGCCATCAGGGGGTTCTCAGCACTGTTGCTAGGTGACCCACGACTGCATTTCAAGGTGTGTGTACTGAGCACTGGCTTCTGCAGAAGACCCAGCCCGGAGCGGGGCTTCAGAGCTGAAGGAGACTCGTTCCCGGGGATCAGAGCCTGATGGGCTGGACAGCAGGCGTGGGGAGTGGGGATCGTGGCCCCAGGCTGCGTGGAGCTCCGTCCCTCTGCTGATCTGACTGACACCTCCCTCCTCTGACCCAGTGGAGGAGGTGGGAGACGGACACAGTTTCTATTTGAACATTTCGTTTGGCAACTTGAAGGATTTGACAGCTACACATTGGTCTGGCAGAATGACTGAAATGCCACTGGCTTCTGAGCTCCTTCCTCCCTCAACCCCAGAACCGAGCACAGAGGAGAATCAAGGCAATTATCAAGAGAGAAAGGTTCTGGACCATCGTGATTCCCTCGTGCATTAACATGGATAAGACGAGGGAAGGCGGAGAAGTGAGGAGTAATCCAGGATCCCCAGGTCTTGGTGTGGGGCTGGTTCCCGTGGTTCTGCCTGGCCGGGGACAGAGGCCAGGACGGAGGCCAGCACAGAGGCCAGGACAGAGGCTCGGGCTGACCGTGTTTTATTCCTGACAAGCCTGGAAGGTCTCGGCCTCAGGCCGGGAGCCTCACTTGCAAGGCCTCCTCTATCCGTGGCTTCCTGCGGTGTGAAAGGCCAGAACTGAGAAAGTGAGGTGGCTTCTGTGACGGGGCAGCCGTGACCCCACGGCCCTCAGTGCACCTCCCTGGGCCTTGGTTTCTGTGCTGGTGACACATGAGCGAGAGGCAGAGCTTCTCTGGGGCTTCCTCTGCGCTGGGCACTCTTGAGGGCTTTGATAGCTACTGACTGAATCCTACCAGGGCCAACTGGGCACAGATGCCATGGTCTCTCCCACTGAAATAACCTGCCCCAAGCCCCGCGTGGCACCCCCGGGAGCCAGGGCTGAACCCGGTTGTCACACTCAACCTTATATTTTCATTTTCTATTTAAAGTTGAATCATTGATTGTACCACCGTGGTGATGCACGAATAAGTAGTCGTTTATTTTCCTGTGTGTGTTTAAAAAAGAGATTCCAGTGTGGGACTGAGTGGCACTCTGGTTCCCCCGGCCAGTCTGTGCTCAGGGCCCAAGGGCACAGGCGGACAAAGCACCTCGGCGGCAGTGCACAGGGTGAGTGTCCCCATGGTGACGGGCTGAGCTAGTAATGCCCCTGTCTGCCCTCCTGGGCCTTAGCACCCAGTTCTGCCATGGCTTCTAAATGATTGGAGGGAAGTACCGCCCGAGCCAAGCCTCTGCTGACCCCCACGACATCTCGAGCTGCCCTCGAGCTCCGCAGCAAACCTCCCGCAGCAGCACAGGAGGTGAGACCCAGTGGGCAGATGCAGGCAGAGCCCCATCAGTGGATGAATTAGTGTTCTATGGGGAAGGAGTCAGCTTTCAGGGAGTTCAGCCCTTCTCACTTCTACTTGCTTTTCTTTCTGCGACGAGGTCCTTGATGGCACAGACCAGATGCCATTGCTTCAACTGGTGATTTCTGGCCTCCAGAACCATAAACCAAAACAAACCTCTTTCCAAGTTACCCAGTGTCAGGTATTCTGTTACAGCAACAGAATGGATGATTCTCTCTGAGCTTCAGGCTCCTATAACAATGGCCTGCTTGAGGTCTCTACTCTCCATCCCTTTGGCATCTCAAACTTAAAATGCCCAAATCAGAGATCCCTATCCCCCCACCATCCCACAGACTAAATCTCCCAGGCTTCCCCATCTCAGAAAATGGCACTGTGCTGCCCAAAACCCTTTCCTCATTTCTGCCTCTCGGCTCCCAGTGTGCAATTCCACGGATGCCCTGACCCGAGCCACTCAATGGGCTCTGCCTCCTCCATTTTATTCTCCCTCATCCAGTCAAAGCCACTCACTGCACTGGAAGAAAGCCCAAGTTCCTCCACATGGCCTCAGCCCTGAGGTCCTGGCCCTGGCCCACCTCTCGCTTCAGGTAGCCACTCTTCCTTTCCCATCCATGCCGCTGCCTCCAGCGCCAACTCCTGCCATGACCCTTCTCAGCACTTGTAGGCGGGACCTTGCTGGGTGCCCCACGACCGCCCCAATGGTGCCTGCACCTCTGCAGGGAGGAGGGCGCGGTGGCCACAGGCCTGCTTGCTTCTTGGGATCAGCACTCACGGTGCAGGTTCCTGAGGGCCAGTCCCAGGGCTTAGGCTGAGAGGCTCTGAGCTCTTTGCTGTCCAAAGGGCCACATGAAACAAGTGTCATGTCCCCTGTGTGTTATCAGAGCAGCAGACACTTCTAGAACTTCTCGGTTATTGGACACTCTCCTGGGGAGCCTCACTGTCTAACAGTAACAGAATGTATCTAAAAACAGCACAAGAAATAGAACATAAACATTTAGGGAAACGTAAGGAGTCCACCTGGCATCAGGCGTCGTCTCATTACCGTTTCCCCTCATATGTGCTTATTATGTCAGTTACCAGCTGGATCACTAACGAGATGACCGCGTCACTTTAAGGGTCTGGCCTTGATCATGTGTGTTGGTATTATTTTAAAATTTAATTTGGAGACCCCCCAGCTCCAAAATGAAAACATAACGAGCACTTACGTCCATTACACTTTACAAACATGCCTGCGACCCCGTACAGAAGGGAAGAAGTGACAGACTTGACCACGAGGCCGAGCCAGCACAGCGTTCTGCTCCTGCTGGGCCTTCTGCTCTGTCTGCCAGACACACCCCTCGATGAGGCTGCTCTCGGCCCCTGGACCGCCCGCCCCAGCTCCCGCCGCGGCCCCGGCACTTACTACTGGGCGCAGTCGATGAGCTGGTACTCGTTGGACCTCTCGAAGCAAGCCTTGACGCCCTCGTCGTCCCAGAGCTTCTTCACGTGGTCGAAGAACTCCTGGGTGAGAGACCGCAGGTGAGAAGGCGCCCACTGCCCGCCTCCAACGCCAAGGGCAAAGGGAGCTGCTCACAGCAAAGCACAGGTGCTACCTCGTGACAAATCCGCCCCCCGCCCCCCGCCATGCCGCCAACGTCTGTGGTTCCAGAACGTTCCCCCAGATGGAATCCAGAAGCACAAAATGCCGTCATTATCTAAAGTTCCCGGCACTCAGGATGAAGGAGGTGAGCGGCCACTTCAGCGTGGACACAGCTCAGGTTCTGTCTCGGCAGCTTCTCCTTCAGCCCTTCCCTGTGAGCCGCCAGCACGATGGACGCGGTCCACTTAGGGTAAAATCTGGCCACTAGGTCCATAAAACTGAAACCTTTAAATTTACACGTTTTGGTGATAACACTGTGTGTGTTTGGGTGGGGGATTTTCCATTTACCCCAGAGCCAGGAGGGCCATGCCCCATCTCACCCATCAAGGCAAGCCAGACCCCCTGAAAGCAGAGCGTTTCTCATCTGGAGGTGGAAGGCCCACTTGTGAAGTCCCCTCCCAAGTTACCCAGGCTGAATTAACCAGAGCTGGGGCGCAAATGAACATGTTAGGTGCGCCCTTCCCACCCTGGTATCTGACCCCTGCTGGGACCCCAGGAAGCACAGGACCAGCTATGGTCTGTGTGCAGGGGTTGAGGCTGCAGCCTTTCCTGCCTCCACCTCCAGCAGACGGCCAAGAATCAATCCTAAGTTCCCTAGGGGACAATAAGGGTTTGCTACATGTTCTTAGAGAGCCACAGTTCCATTCAAGAGTGGGTCCAGGCACTGTGAGGCACCCTACTACTTAAAAGGGGAGGAGGAGGAGGAGGAGGAGGAGGAGGAGGAGAGGGATGGGGGAGGAGGAGAGAAGGAGGAGGGGGGGAGGAGGAGGAGGAGAGGGGGAGGAGGGGGAAGAGGAGGATAAAGAAGAGGAGGGGGAATGAGGGGAAGATGTTGAGGAGGAGAGGGCGTAGGAGGGGGAGGAGGGGGAAGAGGAGGAGAAAGAGGAGGAGGGGGAATGAGGGGAAGATGAGGAGGAGGGGGGAAGGAGGGGAGGGGGAGGAAGGGGGAGTAGGAGGGGGAGGAGGGGGAAGAGGAGGAGAAAGAGGAGGAGGGGGAATGAGGGGAAGATGAGGAGGAGGAGGGAAGGAGGGGAGGGGGAGTAGGAGGGGGAGGAGGAAAGGAGGAGGAGAGAGAGGAGGAGGAGGGGAGGAGAAAGAGGAGAGGGGAGGAGGGGAGAGGAGGGGGATGGAAGAGGAGGGGAGGAGGGGGGAGAAGGAGGAGATAAAGGAGGGCGAGGGGAGGGGAGAAGAAGAAGTAGCAGTAGAAGAAGAAGAAACCAAAAGGATGATATGAAATCAAGAATAAGACCCTGGGTTTGAGCCTTAATGGCTTCCGATATCTCCAACTCTCACTTCCTAGAATGAAGAGCCATCTTTTAGGTTAGGAGCTGTATCTCTCTACCTGTCTAAAACGGTCACCACCAGCAAATCCAAAGTTCCCACAGTTGAAAGAGGAAGAGCCGATCTCTGCCAGAGCCCCTGCTTGTATCTTGTCTCCCTAGACTTAGGCTTCCCTTCTGGAATGTTCCTCTGCTGTTTCCCTTATTCCAGGAAAGGCGTTTGTAGTTTCCTTACAAATCCTCCACACACCCACCCACACACAGACACACACACGGCAGCCACTGGCTGGGAAGAGGGTCCTGGAAGAGACCCATAACCCTGCATCACAGTGACAAGCACCTCCAGTCGCCAGCGCTGGGGCACCTGAGTTCTCTACACGTGGCGGACTACAGATAAATGACCACTAGACCTCAACGTAGGAACCACAGTACACACAGCTAGAAGTCCACACAAGGATGGTCCACTATGATAGGTTTCCAAATGGCGATAAAAACGAGTGTCCACGGTAGGAGCGAGCAGCCAAACCCGGTCAGTAAGAAGAGACCGGCCGCTTCGTCTGGTTTCCAGGCATCCGGAGAGGCCGGGAGGAGGGACAGGGCCACTTGTAGACCGGTGACCGGCTCTCTGGGGTCCCCAGCTGGGGACCTCGGTGGGTTGCCCCTGCCCACTGGCCACCAGAGTGACCGTCTATGGGGAGGGCCTGGACCTGAAGGTGGGGGCAGGGGCCGGAGGGGATTAGAAGCCCCCTGAAGGTCAGCGCTATGACCCCGGCCTCCTGTGCCGTGCATCCGCGCTGTCCCCACGCAGCCCTCCTCCCGGGCAGGCGACTGTGGATGAACTGCCCTCCGACCAGGTCCAGGCATGCTAACCCCTTAAACGGGGCGGCCACTGCAGGCAGCGCTGGCCTGGCTGGAGGTGGCCCGGGGGTGGCGGGCCAACACGGAGGCAGGGCTCCTGGTCCCCGCTCAGGGCCCACTGGGCTGCCCAGCCAACGCCAGCGCCGTGTCCGGCTGGCCCCATAACTAGGGGTCGGCGTGGGAACGCGCCCTGCAGAACTCCCCGGCCTGGGCTCTGCTCAGCGCCCACTCCAGGCGGCCGTTTCCTTCCCAGCACCCGCTCCTGACTCGCTCTGCATCCATGTCCTGGACCTCACAGTGAGATCCTTGTTGGCACCACATCCTGCCCTTAAGTTCTCAGGCGGGTCTTATTTTGTTGAAGGCCCTGCGCACGATATTCTAGCACACGATTTCCTTTGTTTCTCCCAAAGATGGAAGAGTAGAGAGGATGAACCCCGCGTCTGTGTCTCGTCCCCCTTATCCTACACCTTCCTTGTGTTTAGCGGATCTCTGAAGCTGTATCATTGCATTTCAACATTATTGCTAAAGGATTCAGACAGCCCAATACCACTGTTTCCACCAAAACCACACAAACAAATTGAGAAGGGTTCTTTAAAGTCACTACGTGTTCAGTCAGTCAAACAGCTTCCTTAGCTGTAAGCTGGACGTGTGGCCCGGCTGGCGAGGTTCAAATGGGCCCAGTTGCCCTGGAGGTTGTCTGGAGCAGAAGGCAGCTGAGAACTGCAGAGGCAAAGGGAACGCTCCCCGCCCCCTTCCTGTCCAGCTTCCTGGACCAGGATGGGGGAGTCGCTGGGCAGAGACCTCCTACCCACCCCTCTCCCCATCCCTATCCCCAGAACTTGAAACCCCTTCTCCAGGACTTCTCTCCCTTGTTAAGATGGCACAGAATCTCTGAATCACACCGGTCCTTTGCGGGGCGGGGGTGCCATTTCTTTTCTGTGATGCCTCTGCACACAAAAAAATCAAAGCTGTCACTAAGGGCTGGGGTGGGAGAGCACATGGTGTGTGTGTGGGGTGGTGCGGAGAGATGCTCTCTGTATGTGTGTGTGTGTGTGTGTGTGTAATGTGGGGGCCCTTGGTTTGATCGCAGCACCCCCCCACACCATCTCTCTCCACCAACACACACACACACACCATGTCTCTCCACCAACACACACACACACATACACACACACACACACCATCTCATTCCACCAACACCCATACACACACCATCTCTCTCTACCAACACCCCCACATACACCATCTCTCTCCACCAACACACACACATACACACACACACCAACTCTCTCCAACACACACACACATACACACACACACCAACTCTCTCCAACACACACATACACACACACACACCATCTCTCTCCACCAACACACACAAACACACACACCGCAACTCTCTCCACCCTCACACACACACACACACACCATCTCTCTCCACCATCACACACACACACACACACCCCTCATCTCTCTCCACCAACACCAAGGGTGCATCAAGGAAGCCATTCCCCTCTGTTCCCGTCTGCCTGCCTTTGGTCAGTCTACTTCACGGGTTCCTCTTTCTCCACTGCACCACCAACTACATAGTGCAGGTCTATTTTTAGACTCAAGCCTGGTTCTCTGATGGGTGGGATCTATCTTGGGCCAACACCAGGCTATCCTGATGACTGTGGCTTTCTAGAAAGTGTTAGGACGCTTTCTGTTTGTTTTGCTGTTGGGATTTTAACCCAGGGCCCTGCACATGCTAGGTATAAGCGCTGACACTTGCTGACTTATGCTCCATCTCCAAAATTAGGTAGTTTTTATTTTTAGGTACTGAGAATTGAATCCAGGGACACTCAACCACTGAACCATATCCCCAGCCTCCTCCCTCCTTTTTTAAAAATTTGAGACAGGGTCTCACTAACTTGTGGAGACTGGCCTTGAACTTATGATCATCTTCCTACATCCTCCTGAATCCCTGACTACAGGGAAATGCCACCTTGCCCAGTTTAAAATTAGGTACTTTTAAATTCTCCAGCTTTGTTTTTCTGTTCTAACATTGTTTTAGCTATTGTAAGGTCTTTTTAGTTTTCACATACATTTTAGAATTACCTTGTCAGCTTCCATAAAAAAGTCTGCTGGTATTTTGATTGGGATCACATTGACTCTCTAGGTCATTTTGGGGAGAATTGTCATCTGAATCATGAATCTTGTAATCCATGAACATGGTGTGAGTATTTATGTCTTATTTAAGTCTCCCAATAGTGTTTTGTACTTTTCAATGTATAGATAGTTTAGATCTTTTGTTACTAAGGCCAGGTGCAATGGGACACACTTGTAATCCCAGAGATTTGAGAGGCTGAGACAGGAGGATCACAAGTTCAAGGCCAGCCTGGCCAACTTAGTGACACCCTGTCTCAAAATTAAACAGGCTGAGAATGTAGCTCAGTGGTAGAGCAACCCTGGGTTCAACCCCAGTACTGTAAGAAAAAAAAGTCTTCCTAAGAAAACTTTTTGGGGTATTTTTTTGAGTGCCCATGTTTTAAAAATGTTATTTTTTAGACATTTTCATGGCTGGTACATAGAAACAGTGATCCCTGTGTTTGGTCTTGTCTTTTGTAAACTGCTAAGTTTACCCATAGTTCTAGTATTTCCAAAGGCATTTTCATCCTGGGGCAGAATTAGAATTCCACGGGGCTCTGAAGTATGGGGCCTCACCGAGGGACGCCTCAGCACCA